GTGCATCTCCTAGTGACTGGCCAAGGGGTCATTCTGGTTGTTCCGCTGTTAGCGTCAATTTGCATATTACCCTTTTATTATATAGGATATCAAAGCATTATGTTGTACACCTGAAACTAATGTCAATTATATCTCAATTTAAAAAAAAAAAAATGGAAAAGGGGAAGCAATTTCCTAAAGAAGGGGTAGGGTAGGAAGTTACAGTGATCAGAGTAAGTGCAGGAGAGATGATAGCCAGACAAAATAATAACAATAAAGACATTCACTTCCCCAAAAAAATTCAAGAAAGATAAAGGCTCATAGCATTAATATACCCCCCCTCCTTCCAAAAAAAGGACAAGAAAAAATGTTCTTGAATCAATGAAAAACATAAGCAATCAGAAAAATTAATGGCAAAGATAGGAACAAGGAATTCATTAAAGAAATGCTACATAAATCTGTGTAAAGGTACTGAAATTCATAGGGTTGTATAAGAATAAATGAGATCATGTAATTAACATAGTGTTTGATATACAAAAATAAAGCTATTAAAATATAACTAATAATTAAAGAAATGCTTATTTAAATAACAAAAATAAAGGGATGAGCAAAAGTAGGTTTACAGTTGTTCATATGGAAAATAATGCATTAATTAATATATTAATTATATAATAATAGAAGAATTAATATATAATAATAGAAGAATAAACTGTTTTGTGTACTCACAACTGTAAATCTACTTTTGTCTACCCCTGTATGTATATGTACATGTAGGTAAAATACACATATAAAATCCATATACATAAAATTGAATTGGAAAACATTGAGAAAATTTATGATGCCCAAAATTGACAAAATGTAGAGATGCAGGTCCTAACTTGGTACAGTGTAATAGGCATATCCTTTTTGGAAATTGCTAATATTTTCTAAAGCTAAAATAGTTATATATAACTATTTTATATATAGTTATATTTATATATATAAATATATATGTGTGTGTGTGTGTGTGTTTGTTATACCATATATATATGAGTTATTTCACTGCTCTAAATTTATCCTACAAAAATTAGGTATGAATACTCATTGCAACAATGTAATAGAGAAAAACTGAAGAATCCAAAAGTCTACATATGTGGTTAGTTAAACATACTATCAACTAAATATTATTATACAAAATGTGATAAATAGATAGATAGATAAATAGATAGAGACATGAACAACTAAGAAAAATAATATTAAATTGCAAAATCTTTTAACTTTTTTTAAAAAAAGGGATTAAAGTGGGCTAGGATTATTTAATCTGAGCTCTTCTATTTATACTTCAAGGAAACCAAACCTGCATGCAAAATTGTTTATGTATGTATGTAAGTGCATTTTCTAAGGAAAGAGCCTATAGGTTCTACCAAATCTTAAAGAAATATGTGACGCCCCAAAAAGGGTCACTAAGCAATCACTAAAAAGCACCCCCTGCACACACCCACTCTAAGTATCTGAGAAACATAGATAAGTTATACTCAAGTGAGGAAGTCTTTAGGAAGGAAAGAAATGCTCTCAATTAAACTTTTAAGGGAATATTAAATGTCTCTATCACAAAACACATTTTTAATTTCAAAACTCCTAAATCTAAGGGTGTAAAGGAAGTTACTCTTCAAATGAACTCATATTCACTAGGTAATTAAGAACCACAACCAAAAATTACAGAGCAAAAACAGTCTTCAAAATGTGTGACTAGTTCATACTGAAATTACAGTTAAAATAAGATCACAGAGAAGCAAAAGGAGGCAAAGACTAAGTAGTAGTTTCATTTGACACAGTCAAGTAGCTATCAGACTATGGTTAGTACTCATACATATAAAGGATCAGGAGTTATAAAGTCTTAACTAAAGTTTTTTGGGGTGTGTGTGTGTGTGTGTGTGTGTGTGTTTAAGATGAGTAGATTAAAATAAGAGAAATAAATTAGGTATTATACATAATTTAATGAACTTTCTTTAAGCAAAAACAAACGTCTTTTTCTGGAGGCAGGTGGGGGGATGGTCCAATACTTCTGGAACTAATCTATTATAACATTACAGTCATTAGAAGCAATGAGATTAATGAAGAATAGAATAAATGAGTAGTAATAGCAGTGATACTCTCTATCTTAAAATGAAAGTATACTTGAGAACAGTGGTTCTCAACCAGGAGTAATTTTGCCCCTTGAGGAACATTTGGCAACATCTGGATGCATTTTTTATTGCTAGGACTGGGCAGAGGCCAGGAGTGGGGCTAAAAATGTTATAGCCCCGTCCATCTACCCACCCAAAATGTCAACAGTGCCAAAGTTGGAAAAACTCTGCCTTAGAAATAAGCTGGGAAACCACTGAATCTATGCTTTGAAATAATCAACTTTAGTAGAAATTCTCAATCAATAGGGTTGGCTTATTTGTTTAGAAACATTAACTATTATTAAATAGCATGGGATCTATTAAAATTACATGATTGTCAAAAGGTATTATTTAAAGGAAAATTAATTGGACTTCCAATTTATCTAAACCTTTGAAATTTTGCAAAAGCTACAGGCAAAAATAAAAAGACAATGAATTAATGCTAACAGAACATTTTATACACACACATATCCTATGACTCTCACAAACAATACTGAGCAGAAGAAACCAGTCACAATCATACATTTTGCATGATTCCATTTATATACAGTTCAAGAATAGGTGAAAACTGATCTCTTATGTTAGAAATCAGAATAGTGACTCCTTTAGAGAAAAGGGGAGAGAGAGAAGGGCGAGAACATAAAGGGGACTTCTGGAATGCTAATAACTTTGTATTTCTTAATCCAGGTAGTAGTTGCAGAACTGTGTTCACTTTGTGACAACTCATCAAGATGTATACTTAAGCCCTAACTGGTTTGGCTCAGTGGATAGAGCATCAGCCTGCAGACTGAAAGGTCCCAGGTTCAATTCTGGTCAAGGGCATGTACCTTGGTTGCGGGAAATTTGATGACACATTATTCCATGTGTTTAAATGATTAATCAAAACATGTGGGCCCTAGCTGGTTTGGCTCAGTGGATAGAGCGTTGGCCTGCAGACGCCCAGGTTCAATTCCAGTCAAGGACATGTACCTTGGTTGCAGGCACATCCCCAGTGGGTGTGTACAAGGAGGCAGCTGATCAATGTATCTCTCTCATCAATGTTTCTAACTCTCTATCCCTCTCCCTTCCTCTCTGTAAAAAAATCAATAAAATATATCTTTTTTAAAAAGGTGTTTACTTAAAATTCTTCAAGTTGTGTACTAGTAATCAGTGTGTTTACTGTATACAGATAACAATTTAACAAAATGTTTCTTTTTTAATGTTATATATTTATAACCCCCAAAACTTGGGCATTTGGACCCAGGAAGCTAAATTAATATCAACTGCAAAAGTGAAAGTGTTTTTGTTATACTATAGGCTGCCTTCCAAGAATCCAAGGATGGCACCCCAGAAAGCTGTAAATACATACTCTGCACTCATACAGCATTCACTGTGCACTTAAGTCACTATATATATTCCTCATCACAAATCCAAAAATTTGACAAACACAAATGCAGTTGAATTTCTTTCATGGAAAGTATGTTAGGGTTATTTCCTCAAATGTTAAACTGTGAACTGTTATCAAAGACAGGCTCTATGAAACAAACGATGCTTTCTCTTTCCTGACTCCACATTTTCCCAAAGCTTGCCCACACGAAACCCCTCTAGGTCCTCAACTCCTTAGGATTTCTCCAGACTGCTTGCTGATAACAGTGCCCACCACTGCTTCTCCCAGTAGCCAGTCTCACACTCCACCTCTTCACCCACACACATACCCTTCACAGTAACCCTCATTCCAGAGGTAGTCTCCCCTCCCCCCTCAATACTGTTACTCTTCCCCAGCACCTCATAAATACAACCCAAACCTCACTGCTCTCAATCTCCTAATATTCTTCACAAATTCGCTTCCCACAGCACCACAAAACCAGGGCACACACTGTCCCAGTCTTTTAAATCCACTTCTGCCACACACACACACATACACACACACACACCTTGCTTCTGCAAACAATTCAGCTCACTGGCCACCACTATTATCTCAACTCCCCTCTTCCCTTTAGCAACCCCCACCACCACCACCACCACCACACACACGCACTTTCCGGTATTCAGATCCATCCCATTTCCCACCCACCCTCTGCCCTCACCCTCTGCTTTGTTTCCTCTTTGTGAACCTTTCCCAAGTCCTACGACAGAAATCACAAGCTGGAGGAAAGGTATGCAGGAACATGCTCTGTCCTGTGTGCAGGTAGTTGCACAAGCCTCAAGCACACAACCACGCGCACGGGCTGGAGTCTGACGCTGGATTCTCCAACCCAGCGCGGGCACCTGGTAAATGCAAGGCTTTGAACGAGTGGTTTTGCATCAAGCTGCAGTTTCCCAACCTCTACAAAATGGGGTTAAATAAAACAGTTATTTCACAGAGTTGTGAGAATTAAATGAACTACCAGCCACTTAGCACAGTGGCACAAATCCAACAAGATAAACTCTCAATAACTGACAGTTTTTCTGCGGTCCTCGGTGTGGAAGGAGGAATAAAGAGGATGAAAGGCTCTTTAAGTTTCTCTAAAGCTACTGTTCCTGCAAAGTCTCCTCTCGGGGGACACAAATCGGGCAAGGAAGGGAAGGAGGGAAGGAATTCTCTACAGATGTGTGGGTGATACAAAGGACTTTGTCCGATCCCCAAACTCAGTGCTCTCTTTATCATTCCCCTACAATGTGGACCCAAGAAGCCATCAGACTCTTGCAGACGGATGGGGACGTGGATATACATCGAATCCTCCTTCCACGGACACTCATCTGAAGGAACGAGAGAGTTAAGAGCCCCTTCAATTGCTGAAATGCGTTCCTCGGGGGTCTGAGATTAGGAAGGCAATCCCGAAGTCTCAAAGGATTTCTCCTGGGAAGCTGAGGAGGGCAGTTCACGATTAGGAGAGACTAAAAGTAAATGCCAGAAACCTGAACGACTCCTCGCTTCTCCGGAAGGAACGAGTAGCCACGGGATTCTCCGCGGGTGGGCAGGGAGAGGAAAAGCACTGTCCCCGCCTCTGGCGGGGCCGCAGGGCTTCCCCGGGCCCGTTCCTAGAGGGATAAGGGGGAGGGTTTCCGCAAGGGAATCCCCAGCTGCCCGTTGACAGGCGGGCTCAGGCCCCCGGGGAGTTTCTCCGCTCCCTTCCGTCTCCGCACAGCCCAGCTCCAGTAGCGGGGTTTCTCCTCGGGCTGCGGGGTCTCCCGGAGGTCCGGCCATCACTGGACCCCTCCCCTTACAAAACCTCGTCAGCCCACCGAGTTCTCCCGGCCACTTCTCGGGGTCTCCCACTGGCACGGGGACAGCCCGCCGCCCACGGGATCCCCTTCCGAGCGCTGCGAGCCCGCTGGGTTACCTGCTGAGACGGCAGCTCCACGTGCAGGGCCCGCCCAG